TATATATATATATATATATATGGACCAAACACTTGCCCAGTGTGCATGAGGCCCTGGGTTCCATCCGCAGCACCACAAATAAAAAGAACATAGGAGGCCTCCTGCCTGGAAGATGTCAGCATTCAGTGGATGTGGGCCGTAGACTGGGTGATGCCTCACTCACCGTTGTCCCTTATCTGAGGCAAGGCTGATACTGCATCTCACATGCATCTTTGAAAAAGAAGACGGCTTTGAGGACTTCAGTGTCTCACTTAGGTTTCAGTGTGTAGGTCACTCTGCTGTCCTGGTCACATGAGAACACCCCACCCCAGAGAGTTTAAGGCCATGGTGATATCACACCAGGTAAAACTCTGGTTTCCAGTTCTTCAGTGCCACCTTGACCTGTTCCTCTCGGTTGGAACTGAGATGTCATCGGGGCAGGCCCACTACGCAGAACCTTGCCATGTACCGGCTTCTCGAAACTTTGGCACACATTATGGGACAAGGACCATTAATGTCTGAATTCATACCAGCAAAACTCATGTTTGTCCTCTTAGGAGAACTAAGATTGAACTATCTTTTTCTTTTCCTGGGATATTTTTCCCTCTAGCAGATTGAAGACTTATTGTAATGTATCAGCTGTGGAAAGGTAAATGAAGAATAACACCTTTCCTCTTTCTCTTTATAGCTGTCCCCAACCTCTTCATGCTGGAAACAGTGGATTCTGTGAAACTGGCAGACAGAGTCAACAGTTCCTGGCAGAAAAGAGGTTCTCCGGAAAGGTTAAAGGTTATGGTCCAGATCAACACCAGTGGAGAGGAGAGTAAGTGACCAGACCTAGACTATAGATTTTCCTTCCCTGTGGGTGGCTGCAGTGCAGGAAGAACGGTGAGGAAAACAGCTCATGGGTGAGGTCATGGATAGAAGCCTTTAAGTCAGCTATTGTGTGTGATCTAGAGGTACAGCAGTGCACAAGCTAGTCCGTATGCAAGTCTTAAATACATCCTGGTGTCATATTTTAGTGAATACATCCTGATGTTGTATTTTAGTTAGTACATCATGTTGGCATATCTCAGTGAGTACATTGCGGTGTTATATCTTAGTGAATACATTCTGGTGTTGTATCTTAGTGAATACATCCTGGTGTTATATCTTAGTTATAGATCATGGTGTTAAATCTAAGTTTTGGGAAAAAGAGCCATCAAGAAAGGAGTATAACGTTGATCTCCAAAAAATCTCCGAAGGTCACCACCCTCCTGAAAGGGATTGTAGAGTCACATGTACAGTGTAGCTTAGGTCTTAAAATATTAGTGATACAGTGGGATTGAACAAAAGAAAGTCCACTGAAAGCCCTAGTCAGAGACTGTGGTACGAGGCTTGGGGTAGCAGCATAGTGTGGAAAGGAGCCTGGCCTTTGACAGACTGTGGGCTTGTGCTCTGTCACTTCCAGCTTAGTAACTGTCTTTCTACCTCACTATCTTGGCCTGGCAGTGGCATCACAGTAGTACCCACTTCAGAGGGAGTGGCAAGGATTCAGTGTGGCAGTACAGGCAAAGCTGGGAGCACAGAGCCCAGCACAGCTCACTTGATATCATTTTGTCAAGAATAAAAGTTTGAAAAAGCTGGGTGTGGTGGTGCATGCCCGTAATCCGAGCACTCAGGAGGCTGAGGCAGGAGGATTGGTGCAAGTTCAAGGCCAGCCTGGGCTGCAAAGTGAGCTCAAGGCCAACCTGAACTGCATAGCAAGACCCTGTCTCAAAAAGACCAAAAAAACGAAAAAAAAAGAGTAAATGTTTGAGCTGAGAGTGTAGCTCAATGGTAGAACACTTGCCTAGTATGCAATAAAATAAAGAAATTTAGATCAGGTGTTGAATAGACGAACATCAACATTTTCATGTCAGCTGTTTACTTGCTTACAAAACCTGAAAGAGAACATCAAAAATAAAACCTATGTGAACTATAATGTAAACACAAACAAAAGTACAATACAGTCTTTCGATTTTAAAAGATATAATATTAGCCTTGTATTTGGCAAAGAAAAACAAACTGATACTGCTGATGTCAACATTTCACCATGATAGGGAAACACTGATAGAGAAACCTTGGCAAAACAGAAGCCTGAGATGAAAACTACCACAGAAATAATGTTTGCTTCAACTGTCACACCCAAGGCAGTCTTCACACATGACAACTGCATGTTCCATACACGAGTATTGCTTACAGTGATAGCACATATGTGTTGTTTTCCTGTCCTTTCTTGTAGGGCACAGTTGACATCTTTGATATTTCCTTGTTGTCATAGTAGGTCTTTGTGATGCTGTCCCCTGTCTGTTCACTTGTTACCTCACCAGTGTGCTCTGCAATTTTTTCGCGTAGTTCCCTGGGCAGAAACGTTTTGTTGTTCCTCTGCTGTAAATGATCTCTTATGACTTCCAATCTCAATCCTCTAAGAAAATTTCTCTGTGGTATTTTGCACTTGTTATTTTCTTTGTAAACTATCAAAATATGTATTCCCCACATGTGTAGGGTCAAGTAAGACACAACCATTGGCCAGTGTTTTGTTTCAATAGTACATCATAGTTACTGCATAACTCATCAACAACTTCTCCTCCATCTTTGGTTTTGGTGTAGAAAGTTTTCATCTCAGGCTTCTGTTTTGCCAAGGTTTCTCTATCAGTGTTTCCCTATCATGGTGAAATGTTGACATCAGCAGTATCAGTTTGTTTTTCTTTGCCAAATACAAGGCTAATATTATATCTTTTAAAATCGAAAGACTGTATTGTACAATTCTCTGTTCTGAGATTGTGACATTTCATTTGCAGTTTCTGCTTTGTTCCTGGGTACAGTTCCTGCTGTGGTAAACTCATACTCTGTTAGCAAATGTAACCTCAGTCAGAAACTAGTAAACCAGTTGTTGAATGTAAGTTGGTTTGGAAGATGGGATGAACAAGTCTCTTCACAACATCATTTGGTTTGTTACTGTACAAATAAGGGTCTGATGGCTGAGTCCAGGGTAAATGTCTAAATTAAAAGCAGAAGTCTTTGCATCTACAAGAGCATAAATTTTATGCCATATTTTGACCCATTGCTTTTCCATAAGTCTTTTACATTCCTGCAGTTACTGTGAGAAACCCCTGTTAAATACATCAGATCTATGAATACTTTCAGTTCAGCTAGTGAGCTGTCATAATAAATACATTTTTTAATATGGGCACTGTGCACACATAACATTTTACTTGCATTTCCGCCTTTGTGTGTTTCGCAGCATCTTGTAACATTTCATCTATTAGGTTTCCAGCATTGAATGGCAATTCTGGCATTCTCTCCAATATGTTTCACCCCTGACAAGACTCTCACTATATTTTTGGACCTAATTCTAATCCTGGATGTTCCATTTGGTTATGTGGCCATTTTGCAACATTTTGACTAGTCAAATATAAACTCACATTGCTATTTTCTTTGCCATCTGAATCAAGGAGGTCTGCATTCCCTGTATCTCTATCAGTTGATTCTTGCTCCATTTCACTGTCACAGGAACTTTGACTCCCATAGGCAGCGTCAGAGTCATCATCATCATCATCATCATCATACACCCACAGCACTCTTCTATTATGAAAGCATGTATTTTATCATAATGGATCATCTTCATCATCCGTGCATGAGTAATCTGATGATCCACTTTTGACTTCCTCCAAAACTTGCAGATCTGGTTTTTCATGTGCCAGTCTACTGAATTGGGCTGCTTCTACCAGAAAAATCAAAAGAAAACTTTTTTTTTTTTAAATTTTAAAAATAAAAGGAGGAAAACATTAACAGAGAGACAACCTTTTACAAAATAGCAAAAGAACAGTACAGACAACAGAGTTACAAACAAAGTGGTAGGAAATTAACAGTGCTTGTTGTATTATATATTGATCTCTTCAAAGTGGTTTCTCATGAAAACATAGAGACATGCAATATTGATCAATCAAGGACTTATTGATAGTTTCTTTCAGCAAAGAAATAGAAGACAGTAGAACAACTATGTTAACTATCCTGTATATACATACATATAAAATTTTAATCCTGCAGAGGGTGTGGGTCTATTGAATCCTCTGTGATACTCAGATAAACATGCAAAACTAATTAGATGCAGCATAACGTGAGTAAAAATCCCATTTTGCCACTTTTGCACTTGTGCACACACCTTGCTGTTCATCATACCAAATAGGTAAACACATAGATCACTTCCTGTATCCCTCAGGAAAAGGTACTGAGATGCACAGCCAACTACTATTATGCTAAAGTAAAAATTTACAGTAGAAAAGTAAGGGATGGGTCTGCTGGACCCTGTGTTATGCTCCTTAACCTTGTAAAGCAGTGATGGCAAACCTTTTAGAGCTTTCAGGGATACAAACAGCCCACTGCAGCACTCATGCCATAAGTTTGCCACCATTGTCATGCAGTTACTGTATTAAGCAAAAAGCTGCTAGGATGTGGCACATGTGCCTGACACCAGTTACTGTTACTTTACTCTGTGTATGTGTACCTTGACTGTAGCTCATTACATTGTCAGTGCAGGTGAATCTGAAACTGACTCCAGATCATCTGTATTACATCACTTCTCCATGACTAGCTATAATTTGCCCTAATTAAAGATTGAAGTGAATGCTGCTGGCACCTCCATTTGATAAATAGTGGGGGGGACAGAATCCATGATCCATATAACTACATAACCAATGATCCTTCACTGCAGATCCCCCTGCCCATTATTAACAAGTTCAGTTAAACTTTGTAAATATATGTCAGAAGTATTTACTTAATATGTAATTTTTTGCAATTCCATTAATAAATTAATAAAATCATAAAATTAGTCAGATTTTTAAAAACAGTTCTCTGATTCATCTGGGATTTTGACACTGTGAATCTTCCTTGGGGTCCCAAGAAATGTAAGGATTTTTCTTTTTCCTCTCCTCCAGCTCTTCTCATCTAAAATCCTAAGAAATTCGTACCTGTAATCCTAGCACTTGGGAGGCTGAGGCAGGAAGATTGCCATGAGTTCAAGGCCAGCCTGGGCTACATAGTGAGTTCAGTCAAGCCTAGCCTGCAGTACTGAGACATTATGTCAAAAAAACAAACAAAATAAATAAATAAAATAAAATAAAATAAAATAAAATCTGAGATAGCAGGGCTGGATCTGGAGCTCAGTGGTAGAGTGCTTGCCTAGCATGCCTGAGGCTCTGGGTTCGGTCCCCAGCACTGCAAAACAAATAAATCTATCTGAGAGGATGTATTGTTCAGCTTTCCTGTTACTGAGACAGAAATTTAGAACCTGATCAAAAGGCATGCTTCCAAAGACCTCAGATAGAAAGTTACTCCTCCTTAAAATGTGAGGATATCGCTTCCTGAGGTCTTTGTCTGAGAGTCCCCTCCACTGTTACAGGGAGGGATGGCACAGACCCTCCTCTGGCCATTGAGGACATCTTGGCATACCCATCTCTGTTTCCTTTACAAAGGTAAACATGGCCTTGCACCCTCAGAAATGCTAACCCTAGTGGAACACCTGAATGCCAAGTGCCCCAGCCTGGAGTTCGTGGGGCTGATGACCATAGGAAGCTTCGGCCACGATCTTAGTCAAGGACCAAATCCAGACTTCCAGGTACTGTGGCTGAGGTGGAGGCGTGGGGGAGGTGGATTGTCTGTGTGCAAAAGAAGTGTCTCGGAGCCTGAGCAGCACAACACGCCTGGCCTGCGTCCCCGGCACCGTGGGAGAAAGCAGGCAGCGTTTCAGCAGATGCTATCATAGAGCCGCACACTGCATTCGCTGCAGAGCCATCCCCGAGGTTGCCTGTCTGGAGTGAGAGCCCTCTTCTGACCTCTTCTCGTGAGCAAAGGGGCTGAGCGGGTTCCCTCGACAGACTTGTTCAGCTCAGTTTGAAGTTGGCTAAGAAAATTTTTCAAAACAATGAGCTCTTTCTCCCTTTCAAATGACTTGAGTTTTGTGGTTGTGTTTTGTTTTATTTCTGGTGCTGTGACTTGAACCCGGGTCCGTGTGCGAAGTAGGCAAGCACTCTACCACTGGGCCAAGTCCAGTCCTGATATTCTTGGGAGCTGGGGATTTTAATAAAAACCCTTGCAGTGCCCTCTGGCAACCTTGACAGGCCTCTGAGTCCTGAGGAACGTGTGCTCCATGTCAGACGTCTGCATACCTGACAACTTCCAGGCAGGAATAAAACAGAGGCCGTCACCTTTGTGTTCCTGTCAGATGCTGCGGTCCCTGCGGGAAGAGCTGTGTGAAAAGCTGTGCATCCCTGCCGATCAGGTGGAGCTAAGCATGGGCATGTCCGGGGACTTCCAGCACGCGGTAAATGTCCCTCCGCAACCTAGGGTCCAAAAGGCTGAAGCAGGAACAAGCTTTTTGTGGGGCTCCCCTGAGTTGCCCATGCTGGCCTCAGACTCATGATCCTCCCAACCCACTCTCCTGAGTAGCTGGAATAAGCCAGATGTGGAGGCACACCCCTGTAATCTCAGCACTAGGGAGGCTGAAGTAGGAGGATCTTGAGGGCAGGCCAGCCAGGACTATTTAGTGAAAGCTGGTCTCCAAAGAACAAAAAGTAGCTAGGACAGATGTACAACTGGTAGGAATAAGTTTTTGGTGGAGAAATCTTTGAAAATACTCATTACAGAGCAATAGGGGATCCCAGTCACAGTGGTGCTCTATTCTGACATTTCTGCCCTTCTCATGCTTCTTTTTTGAAGTAAAATTTATAGAAATTATAGCCTGACACCTAAATTTTTTTTTCTTTTTTTGAGACAGGGTCTTACTTTGCAGTTCCGGCTGGCCTTGAACTTGCTTATGTAACCCAGGCTGGCCTTAAACTCCCAGCAATCCTTCTGCCTCAGCCTCCCAAGTGCTGGGATTACAGGTGTGCACCACCATGCCAGGCCTGACACCTAATTTTTAAAAACAGTATAATTCCTAAGTGTCATCTGAAGAAAAATAAGAAAATTAACTATTGTCTAGGGTATGGCTCAGTAGCAAAGCATACCCCCAGCATGTGCTAGGCCCTGGGGTCAGTCCCCTAACTAAAGAGAAAGAACAAGAAATCAAGTTATAATTCACAAAGGCATTTGGTTATGTAAATGCCAAGGCATGGTTGTGACAGCGATTCATCTGACACATAGATACTCCAGGAATGCAACAGTTCTATATGTAAACTCCCATACCCGACTTCCTAGAATAGGAAATAATTTCATAAAGTGCTAAAATAAAAGTATGTTTAATTTTTTTTTTTTATTTGTTTGTTTTTTTAGACAGGGTCTCACTATGGTCCAGTGTGGCTTCTTTTTTTTTTGAGCCCAGAGCTTTCACATTGAGCTACATCCCCAGCCCATTTTCTCTTTTGTTTTTGAGGTACAGTCTCACCGAGTTGCCCAGGCTAGGCTCAAATTTACAGTTCTCCTGCCTTAGCCTCCCAGAGTGCAGCTATAACAGGTGTGCATTACCACACTTAAATCAAAAGTTGAAGTATAGATTTGTGTTCCTGGAAAAGTTACCTACTAAAACAGTAAAAATTATTTGTGTTTGTAAATAAAATGGAGCTAGATCCTGTACTCACATAATTACAAGGAGCTTTTGTCCTCTATCTAACTATGGTGCACTAGGAAGGCACGTGGGCCCTGAGTGGCATGTCACTGTGTGGCATGTCCTGCACACCTCTGACGGCCAACATTCTTGGTAGCCCCAGCCCCATCCCATGGCCTGTCCGGTTGTCAGCATTGCCCGCTGCCCTGCTCGTGGAATTCTCAACCTCCCCAGCCACCTCAGGAACCAAGGAGAACTGCTTGTTTCCCGAGCGCCCCTCAGAAGTGTCCCTCCCCAAGGAAACCACTGCCCCCCAGCCGTCCGCAGCTGGTTTGCAGTACTCTTCATAGACTCAGAGCGCAGCACTGCGAGACACACCCTCACAGAACAGCCGAGGAGCACTCTGCGTCTGTAGAGTGTGTCTCCCGGTGCTGCACTCTGTCCGTGGACAGTAAGAAGTAAAAGTAAACTCAGTTCTTGATGTTTTGTCCTCTTGCCTGCAGATTGAAGTTGGATCGACAAACGTCCGAGTAGGGACCACCATTTTCGGAGAGCGGGACTACTCCAAGAAGCCCGTCCAGGATGAGACCACAGCAGAACTGAAGGCCCCAGTGGAGGTGACACAGGCGCACTGAGCCAAGGCCAGCCGGGGCGACTGGCTATGCACGAATGAAGTGTTCGTTGTGGCAGCCCCCACTTCACTGCCCAGCTGTTCCCTCCTGTGACCTGGACAGTTATGGATGGTCACAGGTGTCAGCTGAAGCCACCTGTGCTTAGTCTCTGACGTAGGAGGCCTGCTTCAGACAGTGGCTTTGGATCAAGTTTGAGAACCCGGACTGTTCTGTAGAAACAGATGCCAAGTCAGTAGCCAGGATTCAAGTCCCATGTTGAACTGCCCAGGAGCACTAACCAATTCATGAGGACCTTTCCCAGGTTGAAGTGTGGGTTGCTGGTGCCTATAATCTTTCCTGTTGGTCACCCAGTCTGCTAGTAAATTCCCCACAGTGATGGTCACCTTTGCAGCTCTGGAGCAAAGTGACTCCTTCCCCCAGTACACATGGAAAGTGTTTCCTGCTATGGAGCAGCAGTCAGTAACTTCCAGCCATGACTCAAGTGACAGCTCCACACACAAATTGTTACTAGTGACAGTTTGTGTCATTGACCACTGTGACTGAAATTTTAGGGGTGACACTTTGTAAGTAGGACTTTGGCCTTTCTGATATCCTCCTTAAGAGACAAGACTTTGAGCTCTTCCCTGGGGGACCCGCCATGATGGGAATTTAATGGTGTGATGTCTTCTCCCGTAAGACCCCCCTTGCTGGTGATTTAGCAGAGGCCAGTGAAATCTCATCCTCCCCAGCAGCGAGAGCCTTCAGAGCCCGGTCAGCCACATGGTTTCAGCAAGGCGTCGCGCCACCAGCTTGGCTGAGGAGTGCTCTGTAGGCACGTTCACAGCCTCTGAGCTGTCTTTATAAGCCACAGTTTCACAGCTCTTCTTGATTGTTCGTTAATAAAGTAGCAAGATCTTCAAAGATCAGAAAGCACAATTCTCCAAGTCAATAAGAGCTTCAGTGTAAGTTATTTTCTAGGTAGCTGTTCCTCTTATTCGAGCACCAGTCTTTAATTTTATGAAATAACTTTGAGAACATGATGCTGCTGCTGAATGTAATTTTGCAAAACTTAACACCATTATGATTCTTGTTTCAAAGCTATAGTGTGATACTTCAGAGTCTATTAAATAAAATGTGCTTTTGAATTATACCATCTGTGCCAATTACAAAGCAATTAAAAGATTTATTTTCTATGACCTGGTGTAGTGAATGAATATGTGGACGGCATCAGAACCAGCAGCAGGCCGGGTGTGGTAGCGCACACTTGTCATCCCAGCACTTGGGAGGCTGAGGCAGGAGGATCGTTGCAAGTTCGAGGCCAGCCTGACCTGCACAGTGAGACCCTGTCTCAAAAAGACAGAAAAAAAAAAAGCAGCAGGTCGCCCTGCCGGGTAGCTGGTGTCCTCCAGCACAGCTTTGGCGTAGGGCTTCCCTTGGGCCACATACATAGCCAAAGCCATACTCTGGATGGAACAGGATTTTGACCTAGAGCAAGAACATGAAATCTTCATTTCAGGAATTACAAGATGAAGAGGCTCCGTCTTGCTGCAGTGAACTCCCCGGTTGCCTCTAGGTGGCAACATCGGCTAACCTGAGGGGCAGGTGCCGTGCCGCAGTGGGCACCTCACCCTGAAGGCCCTCGGTCAGTCAGTCCTGTTCCCTCTTCACAGGCAGGAAGCAGTTTCCCAAGTGAGAGCTGGTTGGCAGAACCCCACGGTGCTATCAACTGCCTGATTTCCTTGGCTAAGGGTCCGAAGGGCTACTGTGGGCTGCCCACCCCCACCCCCCGCCCCGGAGGAGTGAGACCATCTGAGCCCTAAAAGATGTCTCCAGCCTGTGCCTGGAGATTAAAAACAGGAGGGGTCCAGCCGGGGAGCTGAATCAAGCCTAGATCGGGAAGGCAGCGTATCCACATAGGACAGGATCCTGTGGAGGGAAAATCCAGCCAGGTTGGGAGCACTCCTTTTTTTATGTTTTTTTGTTGTGTTTTGTTTTAATTTTGAGACAGGGTCTCACAGGTTGCCCAGGCTGGACTCAAGCTTGTGATCTTCCTGGCTCAGGCTCGAAAATAGCCAATGTGACAGTTACGAGCCACCATGCCTGACCCGTGACATTGTCTTGTCACGCACAACAGGCAGCCAGTGGGTTGCTCTGTTTTTCATCAGCAGTGACAGCATCCAGGCAAGTTTCCTGCGTTTCAGCAGCACTCTCTCCGGGGTGAGCCCTGCCACATGGCCAAGTATCTTTTCCTGACAGCGTCGTTTATGGCCTGGATTCTCATCTGCCCTGAGACCTGCCTCAGGTTTGGACACCCTCCCCAAACTATCCATCAGGCTCTGTCTCATGGAAAGTCCCCCACAGATTCTATTACATTTTTTTTTTCTTTCTCTTCCTTTTGTAGTGGTGCTGGGGAATACAACCCCACTGAGCTACAGCCCTAGGGGGACTACTATTCTTAAAGTGACTTCTATCTCAAGTCATGCCCTACCCCTTTTTTAACATTCACAAGTTTGTTCTCAGAGGTCTTGGAGACCTGTAAGCATTCTCTCCTATATTCTTCCATTTAATCTCACGATAGCTGGTCAAGGAGTTTAGCATACTGTATTTGACTGAATACCTTCGTGGCCAGGGCCCTGAGACCTTTTTGAAGACAGAACATGTTGGTAATAGGGCAAGAAATAACCTCAGGAATGACTCCAGGCTGCAGGTTGGTCACTAAGCCACTGTGGGTTTTCTCTTGCTGTGCGGGGTGGGCCCATGGCCTCACAGATGCTAGGCATGCACTGTCCCTCCAGGCCACAGCCCAGCCCAACTCAAAAGCCTGTGTATTCTTAGGTGTGCAGCTTTCATTTCACAGAGCTGTACTGCTGTGAAAGAAGTATGCATTCTTAGTCGATTGTAATAGTTGAGAATTGACACATCTTAATGCAGGACACACTGAAACGGCAACAGCAGGGGCGAGAAGGAAGGAGAGAACTAAATGCATCGTGAGTGGGATTAGCCTTTCTTCCGCCCTCACAGCTCCCTGGCACGCACATCCCTCCTCCAGATTTGAGCTGTCCCACCAGCCCTGCCTCCCTGGGCTGCGCCAGCCATGAGTTCTGCTACTGCCCAAGGCCAGACACAGAGGAATGAGGTCCACTGGGACAGTTTGCAAACCCAAGCCATCCTTGTCCTTGGAAAACAAGTCATGCCTACTGAAAAACAGTGCTGCCTACCGAAGCTTCAGAGGAGGGAGGGAGGGCAGTTTCTGAAGGATTGCAGGGGGGCGGGGAAGTGTCCAGTGCTGCAGTTGGAAACCGCTGGCTCTAGGAGCCAGGCCTGTCTTTACCATGAAGTCAGCTGGATGCTGTTACATCAGCTTCCTGACTAAGAGGGGAAGAATCCAAGCCACCGTCCTCCAAAACCTTCCACGAGTCCACCCTCCCTCATGGAGTACCTAGGTGTAGAAAAGGACTGTTGTTGTTTTTTTTTTTTTTCCTTTTTAGTGATTCTGGGGTTAGAACCCAGGGTGTTGCATTTGCTAGGTAAGTACTCCGCCACTGAGCTACACCCCCAAGGCAAAAGAAGAGGGCTTTGTTTTCCACCCAGTTCTTTCTTTTCCACCCGTAGTACACAACAAGTGCGTACTAAGGCTGTGCATGACCGAACAGCCATTTACAAGATCCTTAAATTTAAGTTTCTCTCCTGTAATGATTTTGAGGTTCCAAGGAACCTTGGAGCGAGCACTTCATCTCATAAAGTCTGGGACAAGCCAGCAGCAGGGGCTCATACCTATAATCCCAGCCATTCAGGAGGCTGAGGTGGGAGGCTCACAAGTTTGAGGCAGTATGGGCACTGTAGCAAGATCCTGTCTCGTATTTAAATTTTGAAATGCTGTCTCAGAATTTACAGCATGGCACATGCCTGTAATCCCATCTACTCAGGAGACTGAGGAGGATCACAAATTTGATGCTAGCCTAAATTAAATAGAGAGCCCCTGTCTAAAAAAGGTGGGGCAATTGGATATGTAGCTCAGTGGGAGAGTTCCCCCACCATGAGGTCAATCCCCAGTACCAGAAAAAAGAAAACGTCTGGCACATATCAGCCAAATTGGCACGTGATGGGGAGGGAAAGAGAGACGTTTGACATCTTTCTTGTATTTAAAATACATTTTATGAGCTTGGGTTCGTGAGCTTTGCGATGTCCAGGAAGCAGATGCCTCTCTGGGCGCTGGAGGGCTACTCAGACGGCCCTGCTCATGCTCACAAGCTGGAACACCCCATGCCAGCTGCACGCTGGCGTCTGTCCCCACCCAGCGTCTGAGGAGCAGCGTTACTCTCCCGTTCAGAGCGCAGCTTGACCGAGCTGCCAGTCTCCAAAATACAATCAATGTGTGACCTTATTCTGCAGATGTCCCGAAGAAACAAGCACAACCCTGGGCCAACTTTGAAGCCAAAAAGGGAAGATGAGAAGTTGGGAGAGAGAAAGAGGAGGGAAAAGAAACTTGGCTGGACATGAAAGGTGTCTTGTCCGTCTGTTCCCCATTAGGCGCAATTCTCTCACAATCTGCAGCCTCAACATAATTCTCCTGACCAGAAACTCTCTGGAGAGATAGTGTCAGAGTAAAAAACAAACAGACTAGCGTCTTCTGACAGCAAAGTCACTTAAAAACCGATTGGGGGTGGGGGGAGGGGAGATGTCAGCACGTCAGGGGAGGGCAGTCCTCGAAGTAGGCCACATGTGGAGGTACATTCATAGGAAGGACCGGAAGGGGGTCCCCGGGGAGGAGTGCTACACAAGGGCAAGGGAGCTGCAAGAAGCAAGAGGCCCAGGTTGTCTGTCTCAGCATCTGCCCTGTCTGGCTTTTCCAACTGAGAACCCAACAGTAAAACCCATGGCAGCTGGGGGTACGGCTCAGTGGTACAGCACCTGCCCAGCATGCATAAAAGGCCCTGGATTCCATCTTCAGCACCCCCAAAAAACAAACACTAAAACCCACTGTGCTGGATCTGCACGCTTGTCCTAATTTCACTTTCCCATTTCTGACAGCCAACAGCAGCTGAAGGCAGCCGTCCCTTAAGGGGCACAGCTCCCCAACAGGCAGCCTCTTTCCCAGCCCCTCTGACACCTTCCATCTAAGCAGCACAGCATTTGGAGGAGCCCAGGGCAAGGCTCTGCAGGGCTGGGGGCCGGCAGGGCGGGCCAGGGGACAGCTCCGTGCTCAAGTTTCTGGGACAGGCATACTGTTCTAGGAGAGACTTTTTTTTTAGGAAGAAAAACTAATCAGCAGAAAGAAGCAAGAGCTTACCCCTGCCTCTCAGACTTGTTTATTACTAGGATATCTGATTTCAGCTAAGGAAGCCGGCTCTGAAGCAAGGTTTTTATTGGCCGTGAGCAAGAAGAATTCAGGGTTTGCCTTTGATTTGGCTTCCCCAGAACATGCGGCACTGAAGAGTGCTTGCTGCTTTGATGGAGCAGCTCAGTCCCTGGGCCCCCTCCCAAATTCTCTGTTTTGGCAACGTGGACACAAATTCCCCTCGGAGGACGAGGGTAGAGCGAGGGGCGAGCGAAAGGGACTAGAAATGGGGGACGAAGGTGAGCAAGCCTTCAACTGAGTGAGGCGCCTGGCCCACCCCACCTGGAGTGAGGGCCCGGGAGGGCAGGTCTGCTCAGGAAAGGCTGCTTGAGGGCCAGTTGGGCTGGGCCTGATGGCTTCAATGTGTCGGGAAGATAAAGCCGGAGAGTGGAGAGGCAGCCTCTGCCAATAGCACTCCCAGGCTGGGACAGGCCCCAGGGAAGGGTGCCCAGACAGACTGCAAAGGCCAAGAGCTGCTGCGCCCCCTCACCCTGGCTGGGATGGCCTCCTACCTCCTGCTCCCCAGAGGGAAAGTGTTCCCCAACCACCTCTTTCCTTTGTCTTCAGCAACTCCCGTCTGCCTTTCCCTTCCACCCCCTCATCCGTTCTGCACAAAGCCCTGGAGACAGGAGAACCCTGTGGGAGGATGCAGGGGTGGGCCAAGCCTAGAGGCTGCTGCAGGGCCCGCTAGATTCAGGGCCATCAGAGAGGAACTGTGGGCGGGGGTGTCTGTGTCCCGCTCCCTTCCAGTCCCAGTTTGGAACTCAGCAGCGGTAGGTGCAGGAGAGCGCTGTGCTCTCTGGGCTGTAGGTCACCACAGGCATCGCTATGCGTGCTCCCTGTGACACGGCTCAGCTC